AACAAAGAGAGGCTGACAGAAAGATCGAATTTCCGTTTGTGAAAGTGAGTCCGTTTTTAATTTTCTATCTTGTATTTATTCTACATATATTATTAACTTTGGCATACAAACCGAACTGCATCATAATAAGTCTTGCTTGTCTGCCTAATCTTTGTTATTGCTCTAATGTTTCCGGGGGTTGCGTATCTGTCTAATCATAATAGCAATTTGTTTTTTTTTTTTTTTCATTGTGCACTTTGATTTCATTGAAGCGTCGCGTTTTTTTCTTTTTTCTCCTTATTCTCGTTTTCAAGCTCTATATGGTCTGTCCAGTTATTAGTTATCCCTGATCTTAAGAATATTTGCAGTTAAATACAAATGAGCTATATGGAGCGAATGAACTCGAGAGGATGAGACTTTATTACTCGAAAAAGCAATAATTCAATCAGTAACAGGTACACTTGACTACTTACTAATTTTTTTCGTCTTATGGTGCAGCTGGTGTAAAAGTATATTTGCTAGAGAAAGGCCTTGAATAATTTTCTTTTTTTTTTTTCTCATTAGAGTAGAATCTTTTTTACTTTCATTTGTACAGGGATCCTGAATTGAGATGAAGTCTTAGAGAGAGAGAGAGGGAGGGAGGGAGAGAGAGAGCTGTTCGAAAGCGCTGCTCGAAAGCTTGACGGACAAATGGAACGAAAAAGCCTCCTTCCTTATAGCCCATCTTGAAGGGTTCAATTCCTATTCCCTTGAGGTTCGTTTCGGGTTGAAAATTGAAGCAAGTCTGAAGTTAGACCTGCTGCATTCTTGCGGTGGTTTCGAGACATATAATGCTAGAGTAAACTGCAAAAAGTACCATCCGTGTAATCTCCAAATAGCAAAAAACTCATGTGATAAATAAACTAGCAAACACCCCCCACTCGGCCCATTATTCATTTGAGTGTTGACTTAATATAAAAAGACACAAATACTCTCATGGTTTTGCAATTAATAAATTCTTAAATTTTATAAATATTTTAATTATTTTATTTTTGTTATATCTTAATTAGAAAAGTACAATGGGTTCTTTTATTTCTATTTTTATTATTATATAATTTATGTATATATTTTAAATTATCCATGCATAAAAAAAACTTAAATTCCATTATTATGTATTTCTTTATTTTGTATTTAACAACCTATACTTAATTTCATTACCAAATTTTTAATATTTTTTTAATTTAATTGTTTAATAATTTTTAATAATATTTTAATTTCTAAATAATCAAATTATAAAGAAAATATATATACATATAAATATATATTGAGGGACAATTTCATCATTTCACGTCCAATAATCAGCTACCAGCCGCACATCTAGCGAGTGAGCTACATGAAAGTCAACTAGGAGGGTTTTTGCTTTTGACTAAATTTCACAAGGGTTTTTTGCCAGTTTATTTGTTACCGGAGATTTTTGCTATTTGAAGATTACACATGAGTACTTTTTGCAGTTTACTCGATAATGCTACTCTACTCTAGCCCGTTCGATACTATCGTACAAACCGGTAGTTGGGCTCACGATAGACCATAATTAAATGAGCTGAATTAATTATTTCTAGTAGGCCATCTTGTAGCCTCCTCAAAAAAAAAAAATTTAAGACGCCATGTCCAATTCAATATTATTAAAGGTCATAAAAGGCTTAAAAGCTACAAATTAATGGGCTTGTAGACCATTAAGAACTGCATTTATGGAAAAACTTATACTCCCTCTATTTTATAATAATTGTCTCTTTTTTAAAATATTTTTATTCCATGTTATCTGTCACTTTAGATTTCCAATACTAAATTAAATGCATTTTTCCTGTTTTAACCTTATTAATGAAACTCTAATCATTATTTTTCTCTTATAAATCATTAAATAATAAAGGTTGTTTTAGTCATTTATATATGATTTTTCTAAAATCAAGATATATTTATTGAATTTCTTAATCTTTGTAAAAAGTGAAAAGAGACACTTATTTAGGAACGGAGGGAGTATATTCTTTGGCTCATTTTCAGGCTGGAACTAAACACACGCGCGTAACACATGTGATTTTGAGGGGCATTGTCTTTTCAATTTCCTAAGCCCTGATTGATTGTTTGTCTTTGCACGTAATCGATGTTGCCGTAAAATTCTTCTCCAAATCTAATTACGTAAACTGAAATGATTTACGCTGTACTGAAATTACAAATATTGTTCATTGTATTCTTACTTTCTCTCTCTACAAACACCCAGCCCACTCAAACCTCCCAAAAGCCCCAAAATGAACAAAAGCCCTCAACTATCCTCCCAAGTCTGAAAATCTCTCAAATTGAAAGGTAATTTCTTATCTAATTTAGTTATATGTGAATAATTTGTGTTTACTTTGTGGTTAAAGATGTGAAAACCCCAAAAAAATCGCGTTTTTGGGGCTGTTTTTATTGATGGTGTTGCGCCATTTCCACGTCCAAAACGGGCGTGCGAAAATAGTTTTCACGCCCAAAATGAGCGTAAAAACTATTTTCAAACGCCCATTTTGGGCGTGTAAATCTGGTTTTGGCGACCGTTCCGGGCGTGCAAATTCCTGATCGGCGCCTGGAACGGTCGTCCGATTTATTTATTTATTTGCTTTCGCCCATTAGACCCGTGCTCAAGTTTGAGGCGTGGAGATTGGTAAACTGAGAGTGAAATTTCTTCCTCAAAATATGGTGGACACAAAATTGAATTGGAGTAAAGTTGAGGGACTGAAGATATAACTCTTCCATTGGTTGGGGGGAGAAGAATACAGCGTCATTCTTCTTCTTATTATTAATTTTTTTTTTAATTTTTAATTTTTTTAAACATTTTATTTATAGCTAATATACAACTTTTGCATTTTGTTTGTTTTAAATTGAAATAGTACTAAAATTCCAAACAAACATGAAAAAAATACAAGAAATATTTATAAGACTATGAAATAAATTGTAATGCATAAAAAAATGAAAAAATAATATTTCAAAAATTACAATATATGTTTAATTATTTTTTATACATTATTAACAATCACAAAAGAATTACGAAATAAATAATATTTATAAAATTAAAAACAACTATATTACAAAATTTGGTATAATTAAATTAATTACAGATTTTTATTTTAATACAAAATGGAGAACTGAAATGCTAAATCCCACATTATTTTTACCAAATCATGCCCATAACTAAAAATATTTCTCTCTCCAAAATCTTCTCTTCTCCTTTCCCAGTACTCTTCTTCTTTTTCCCTAATTTTTTTCACAAAATCACACACCAAAAACATCCCTAGCATTTCAAGTTCGAATTTGACAAAAAATTTCACATGTTCAAACTAAAATAAAGTTGGAATTTGAGGAAAATATTCGAATTGATATGAATTTGAATATTTAAAAAGGCTTAATGAAATTGAATAAATATTAAGTAAAACGGTACTCATTTTTTATGATTATTCACGTAAAAAATTAATGAA